TTACATGTTACATGTTACATGCAGCTAGTTCGTTGTTACGGTATATAAGTAAGAAACTTGTTAATCGATTCGATTGATTCACTTCGTAACGTTACACCACGTGGTTCGGTACTTTAACGAGACCGCAATTGCAATTCTTAAAGTGAGTTTTCATCGTTGGAATGGCGGAACATAAAATTTTGTTCTCTCTGTTATTTTCTGAGAATGAGAGAGGGACAATAAAACGTTTTTGCACATTGATTCCACAGTTCGCTATAAAGACAGTACTTCACGTTAATTTCCCTTGTCAATATGCTTTAAAAGCAGATATATCTATATCTACGAGTATACTTATTATGAAGATGAAAGATTTTTCGATTTTTGTATATTGAAATAACTCAAGAACTATTGGACCGATTTCAAAAATATTTGCACCGTTAAAAGCTATCATCTCACTCATTAAACATTAATTTTACGCGGGCGAAGTCGCGAGCAACAACTAGTGAGATAAAGTTTAAATACTCCTAGTGTGTTACCTACCTTAAAATCCTGTCGACTTGCATTATCGACACAACGTTAATCTAATTAAGATCTGTTATACCGCTGCTTCCAATGATTCGATCATGTATCTAATTCATGAATAACATACATTTATGTATGTACGAGCTGTTGCCCGCGACTTCGTCCGCGTGGTATTAGAAAACATACGAACTATATAAATAACAAAAAGCTACGTATCCCTCGGGAACCGCACATATCTCGGGGATGAACCTCATCCCATGTGTACTCCAGACTTTGTTTTATATCTGTGCCAAATTTCAAGAGGATATGTTGAACCGTTGCAGAATTATCGAGTAAACATTACAAAACTAAATTAATGAATCCCACAGGAACCGTAACTATTCCCGGGATAAAAAGTACCCTATGTGTTCTTCCCGACTATGCTCTAAACATGTGCCAAATTTCATGGAGATCCGTTTAGCCGTTTAGGCTACAAACGCTAACAAACATCCATCCATCCATCTAAACTTTCGCATTTATAATATTAGTACGATTAGTAAGAAGTAAGATTAGTATGATTACCTACAAGCCGTAGCTCGCGACTCTGTCCGCACGGAATTAAAAAAGACAAAAGGTAGTAAGCCAGACTATCCTCTATATCTAAGCATTTCGCGTTCCGTTCAGCAGTATCATCAGTTTTCACTACAAACTAACAAACATCCATCTAAACTTTCGCATTTATAATAGTTAGATACAAGTACTACTAAATGCCATACACGGGGATATAAATAGGTTTTAACTACGCTCCGTGTACAGCACACCTTATCATCCGACCCTTGTCCTTACGTAGTGTGGGCACAGAATGTACTCTTCTGTACTCAATCTGAATTCATAACCTTAGGCATATACTCTTTCAAACATTTTATACTTCCTTAGGTCTTCCTATTTTTAGACACGTTAAATCTTAATATGTTATTGTAACACTAGCCATTTCCCGCGACTCTGTTCTTAAATAAAACAAAAGCATGCCTACGTGTTCCATACTATCCTCTACATCTATGACAAATTTCATAGAGATCCGTTCAGTTTAGGCTACTCTAACATCCATCTAAATTTCGCATTTACATTAGTAAGTAGGGAAACAGTAATATTACTATTTTAGTTACATAGTAATAACGTCATCAGAGCTATGTTAGTATCTCGATGTGTGAATTGCATTCGATAAACATGCGAGCAAACCTGTACAATGTTAGATAAATAAATATTTACATACTCTGCCAACGATATATGTTGGAATGACGTATTTAGTTCAGCAGACCAATGAATCGATGAA